TGACCTCGGCTCGGGTTGTAGTTAACTCTCGCTGCAGAGCTTCATTGCTCCTTGTGGCCCTCGCATGAGAAATCTCAAAGCGACAGATGCGGTCCGTGCTGGTGTCCGAATCAGCTTCGAGCTCCACTGCTCGCTGAAGGGTTGCCATACCTAGCTCCACATTGCAAGCCACTCGACGTGTCAGATTGTAGAAGTTGCGGTTTCCGTCGTATGGGAGGGGTTGGTCTTGCTCGTGGCTCCACCTATTCAAACTCCTGGCCTACATGAGCGTTGGACCTTGGAATCCAACTTGAGGGTTAGGGTTTGGTGTTGGGGTTACCTGAGGTAGGTTCTCGACTTCGGGTTCCGGGTCGGTCTTTTCAGGGAATGGTTCGGCAAGGTCATCGTCCAAAGAAATTTTATGGTTTCCTTCTGGCTCTGGCTCGATCCATCCGTCATCTCCTTGGTTGGGAAAGTACGGGTCGCCAGGGAGATGAAATCCAGTCATGCCATCTACGCGAGGTGATGGTAAAGGAATAGTTAATAGGTACTGAATATAATAATACTTCCAATGTATTATAGCTGCATGATTGGTTCTTGAAGAAGTGATTATTGGGTAAGTTTCAGGTTTGGTCGTTATAGCATCCTAAAATACTCCTATAGTATTTTAATCTTTATGTTTGGCTCTAGGACTCTCCTGGTATTTAGGTAAGTTTTAGGCTTGTTGCAACACCACAGTCACTCCCAAGCACATGTTAGTCATGTCTCGACTGAATATAGTTGATCAGGCTATATTCACCCTAGATATGATTACATAACTGCCCAGGTTTAACCGCGATGTCCAACATCCAAATACTTTTGTTTTGTTTTACTTACGACACGGATTCTGATACTCGGGTATACTTATATACTTTTATAAAAATACTTGTATTTCTGAAAGTATACTTTTAGTTTAGAGCGCTTAGGCCCCTTAGTATTTATAGTTGTATACCATGTAAGGTTCGGTATACTTAGTTCACTATAAATAAGGGCTCTGATACCAATCTGTCACACCCCAAAACCGAAACGGCGGAAACGTTCTGGGGCGGAGGACGTCATGCGTAGTATCACAACAATTGTATCATAACAAGCATAGTAAACACAACCAGACATTGAATACATGTGTGAAAAAGGTTTACATTGTTTAATACATAGTTCTATCCATATCAAAGTAAAATAGTAAAGACGTGACTCTAACGCTCCGACTTCTCCGAACACTTGGAAGTACCTGTCTACTAATTCCCTGAGAATACAAGCAGTTTTGAAAGATTATCAGCATAAAGCTGGTGAGTTCATAAGTATTTAGTTTGGTGGAAAAATGTTCTTTAATCCTTTCAAAAAGTGTTCCTCAAGAAAATCCTATATTTTCTTATAAAAACGTGTTTGAAAACCCATTCCTTCCATGACTTCCAGATTTGTACAGAATATGTACAATCCAATGAGTCGTGGAATGAATATGAATATCCGTTGGTTGTAAAAGAATCCGTTTTGAATAGCCGGTTTATCCCGGAAAAATCCTATATTTTCCCAAAAGGTGGTTGGTTGATTATCCGTTTTAAACTAAGGTTTGCAAGTATCTACCATACTCGTGTATATAAAAGCAGTTTTCTTTTAAAAACCCTGGTTACACCCATAGAGGTATATTAGTCTTAAAACTAAATAAAAGAAAACCGTGATGAACTAAGTCCTGGAGATATTATTATTAATACCCTCCAGTAATCTATCGGTTATTACTTTGAGGTTAGTTCATTTGATTCATTATTACAAAAGTAAATTCCTGTTATCTAGGTTGTGAGTTTCATAACCATAACTGACTGGACATGGCCCGCAACGGCCGATATCCTTAATGACTTTGTCACCCGCAGACCTGCCGGTCCAACTGTAGCTAGCAGTGAGGTGCGGGATTGTCAGTCCCGTATAGATCTATACACAACAGTCACGCTCTCCCTACAAGAGATTCTGGTCATGAGTGCTAGTCCTCCACTCTGTTTCTTGTGGTGAGTGTTACCAAGGACGTGTCTCAAACATAGCCTAACAAATTTACAAGTAATAATACCGAAAATCCTGTTTATGATTTGCATGAATCCTTTATAAAATAATACATTTTACTATATGATTCACAAGTTCATTGCTCTAGTTTTGAAAACTGTTTCTACGAGTTGATTTCTTAATCGTTTGGTAAAACTGTTTTCCGTGTCAAAAGCATGCGAAAAATATGATTATCTCAAACAAAATAATATATTTTGAGCACAAGTTTCCTTGTACTTTTGCTTGTATTCCCCCCTGAAAATATGAAAAACTCGGAAAAACGTAGGGGTATGAACTCACCTCGGGCGATTTGAATGAAGGATCGATACGGAATGCGGGATTTTCAAGTGAAGCCTTGAACACGATTTGATCCTAATTAACAAGTAATGACACATAAAGGAGTCAAATGATGGTATTTCACCACTAGATGTGATGGAGAACCACTCTAAGAACTTGAAACTACTCGCACTAAGTGTTAGGACCTTAAAGGATTGCATGAGGGGAGTGTATGGCCACCTTAATGTTGTGTGCGGCCATGGGTGTGCGGCCGTACACTCATGTCGGAAAGTGTCTTTGAGGTGTTTCAAGGTCCATACTTGCATCCATGAAGTGTCCTAGGTCCATACTAGGTTGTAGTACAAGTTTAGGGTCTTAGAAATGGGTTTGTGGTCCTATGGTGTGTGTGTGTGTGGTCGCACAAATGTGTGTGCTGCTGCACAAGGGAGTGTGCTGCCGTACACAGGAGTGTGCTGCGGCACACATGAGTGTGTGGTCGTATACCCATCAAGTTTTGTGTCCGAAAATGTCATTTCCAAGGTGTAGCAAGGCTATGGTCATGTCTAACTCGAATATGGAAGCCAAACTCTCACTTTGGAGGGTCTTTTAGGAGTGTGAGGCCACTTATGTGGGTGTATGGCCTCACTCCTTCAAAGAGATGAAGAACATGACGGACTTTGATGATTGAAGGCCTAGATCAAGAGGTTCTTCAAGCACAGCAAGCTAAGGAATGGATTACTCACGTTTTTGAAGCCTTGGGAGGGTTTGCGGTTGAAGAGTCTTGAGAGAAAAGGTGTTGTGCGCTGCCAGGATGTTAAAGGAATGAAAGGAAAAGGGGTCTACCCTTTATATAGGGTGGGTGTGCTGCCATATGGGGGGTGTGCGGCCGCACACCCATGTGTACGGCCGTACACTCCTCCTAAAGGTGTGTATGGCCCGGTTTTGCACCCTATGGTTTGCTGACTCATTCCTAACCCCAACCTTGGCTATACTCAAGCTTAGAATGCTTAAATGAACCCTCAAACAGTGCAAGAAGTCAACTAAAACAAGTTTAACATTGATTGAATTAGCTAAGTGTACAAGATAAAAGTTTCGGGTTGTCACACAGGGGCGTAGTTATGTGAGTACAAGGGTTGGCATTGGCCCACCCTACACATATTTGAAGTCTTATATATACTATATAATTTTGTTAAGTAAAATGAACTATGTTTTCATATGGCCTACCCATTGAAATTATTACTACATATAATTGTTTGTTGGAAGATCATGTTTATATTTCATATTTGAGTTTTACTACTATGATCCTCAGTCTTGAGCTCATACTTATTATTTTTATATTCATATTTGGGTTTTACTATTGTGCTCCTCTATATGAGCATATACTTAAATATCTTTCAAATGCTTTGAATCTTATTTATGGAAATGACCTTTTGAGTTTTCATTTTTATTCGTAAACCATCAAAGTTATAAAAACAATCCCTAATAAATTTGGTTATTAGTTGTTGCTATGAATTAATTATTTGTATTGTTGTATTATATGTATTATTGCACTATATATACATTTATTTTTTTAATAAAAATATAAGATTATGTTTGTAATTGGAGTTATTTATGATTAATGAATTTCGTTGAGTAATGGGTACAAAGCAAAAAAGATTAGATATCGCTAAACTTTTTAGTTTAGGCTCAGTTTTGGATGATTTTAATGATGTAAGAGATCATCATGTGCAAATTAAATGAACAATTTACTTAGAATGCATTCATTATTATATTTTGTTATCATTTGAAGTATTTTGCTACTAATTCATATTTTGTAGATTATTTGGCCTACCCTTCAACAAAATCTTGGCTCCGCCACTAATATGGTGTATATTCTATTGACCTATGATCAAATCCTGACACTACTCAGCCCGGTGACCATGGAGGTGCGTCTGCGGTGACTCCAGGGCATTAGACAGAGTCTCATGTTCGAAGCGGAGATTAGTCGGTGTGCGAAAGTTGGCCCGAAAACCCTCGTTAGAGAAGTTCCCTTTCCATTTTTTTGACCTATTTATAAATAAATATGTTTTTAAAAAATAAAATTATAATATAATTGTAAAGATTTAGTTTTGTATTTGTACTTTTAACATTAATTATTTATGAAAATACTTAAAAAAACTAAGCAAACTATATTATGGGTCAGACTAATCTGTCTAATTTTTTTAGGATTGTCTAAAACAGATTTTTTTTTTCTTAGTATATTGGGCTTTGATATACGAATTGATATCGTGGTTTTTGAATAAACATATTATTTACTGAATTTTTAACTTAAACATCTATAATACTTTAAATTTTTACATAAGGTAATAAAATAAACCGGTCATATCCATTTAATAAATGAAGAAGAATCCTTGGGTTCTTAATTTATGATGCTACTCTTCAATTAAAAAATGGATGGCTCACTCTAATAAGTTTATATATTTGTTTTTTTATTAAAAGTTTTAGAGTGTATAATTGGACACAAGTCGGAAGAAGAAGGACCAAGTATCACTTTGTCCGAATCCAAAAGAGTTGTTTTAGTAAATACAGGAAGAAAAGGAAAGAAAACGAAAGTTACAACGCGCGACTAACGTGGACAGTTTCCACCCATACAATGCAACACATACACGGATTCTCTCTCTCTGCGTAAAAGCAAAACCCCGTGGATCATTCTTTACAAATCAGATTGTTTTAGAGAGAGAAACTGCATTTTTTTAGTGAGAGAAACTACTGACATTGTTATGGGAGGTGGAGGCGGTTCAATCGGAGGAGCGATTGTGCCGTCGGTGAAGTCCGGACTGCCTGCACCGTCATCGGAACTACCAGCTCCTGCTCCGATTCCGCCACCACCGGTATATCAGCTACATCCGCCGCAAGTTCCGGCGTCTGATCGCGCGGTGGTGGAGGCGGAGGTTAGGGAGGATGATCGAGAGGCGGCGGAGACGGATAAAGATTTGCTGTGTCCGATATGCATGCAGATAATCAAGGATGCCTTTTTGACATCATGTGGTCATAGTTTCTGTTACTTGTGCATTGTGACGCATCTTCAGAACAAGAGCGACTGTCCTTCTTGCGCAAGTTATCTCACCACTAATCAAATTTTTCCTAATTTTTTGCTTAATAAGGTAATTTTGTATATCTTTTTAAAAATTCTGAGCTAGAATTATTCAGTTGTCCAGTATCCACCACTTGCACTTGCATTTGCATAGGGCGTGATTGTGATATTGACAATTCGTTGATTTTGTGGAACCAATTAGAAGCTTTAGTCAAAGATATATGAAATCCGTGGTCCTTCAGATTCCCAGTTTTGCGTGCTATTGAACGGTGATTATATAAATGATACTTCTACTCTCATGCATTTAAGTTGCAATAATGAAATAATTTGTAATACATGGAATTGTTATTCTCACTATCCACACTTGAATTTGAAATCTGAAGACAATGTTTTCCAAGTGGCAAAATTGACATTGGTGTTTTAAGTGTATAAAGTTCCAATGATAGTATGATACTTGTTGATTCATGCATTTTATTTTATGGAGAAAACATGCGTATTTAACTGTTACTTTGGTACTTGCACTCAAGATTAATTAGAGTCAACACTTGATTTTGAAATCCAAACCCAGTGTTTCCCAGATGGCATAAAATGACTTGATGATTTTAGTCTTTAAAGTTCCAACTTTTTTATGATTGCAAATGCTTCTTTTAAGAATGTAGTCGTTAAAGGCTCGCCATAATTAAATCAATTAAGGTCAAGTCTGAACTCAGTAAGGAATCACTGTCACTTAATATGTATTCTTACTGCTAGATGGAGGATGCAACTTCTAGGAAATGGAAAATGTTTTCTCAAATCCCTTAAATTAGGGAGTAAAAGCTTCCAATTGGCTTTGCCTAGCTACAGTAATATCAACATTCATTGATAAAGACCTTGTTGAAAATTCTCAAGGATAAAATTCACTTTCCATATATGGAAATCCTACTTATGAGCATGATTATGCAAGTATCAAAGTATAATTACTGTTTATTTTGTGGATTTTTGGCATTTTCTGCAGCTATTAATCAAAGCTTCAGCACATCATATAGCAAAACATGCTTCTCCTACTGAACAGCTTCGTCAAGCACTTCAACAGGTCAGTTATCGACCAGCTATTTTGATTATCTTAATTGAGATTATTGTCCAGTTGAGATGTTTTTTTATGTTGTATGTGGATGCACCTACAAAACATTTCATTTTTAACTTGATTGTGCAAGTTTCAATATTAGAAATAGTCAACTCAAAGTAGTCTTAAGCTGCTTTGAAAGTAAAGTACTAATTTCATCAGCATATATAGTATTCAGTTAAATATTTGCATTCGAACAATATGTTAATAAAAATAGTCTTAGATAGTTTGTTTTTGGGCCAAACAGGAAAAATAAACCCTTTAGTTAAAAATTCACGATGCACAACTCAATATTAAGTAATCCTTGGTAAAATCTGTTCCATTTTGAATTAGAGATGGATGGATTATATCAATGAAGTGATTACATTTCTACCTACCAACATAATACATATATAGGAAGAAAATTATTCATGAAGTCCATATTTGGTGGTGTAAAATATCAAATAAATTTGACATTTTGTGTGTAGAACTAGAAACATGACTCATATCTTCTATTAGACAGGGATGTGATGTGTCTGTGAAGGAGGTGGACATCCTCTTGGTTCTTCTTGCTGAGAAGAAAAGAAAAATGGAGCAAGAAGAAGCCGAGACAAATCTGCAAATTATGCGTGAATTTTTGCATTGCTTACGAAAGCAAAAGCTTGAAGAGCTAAACGAGGTCCTTCAGTCTTTTACCACTTTTAGCTTATTCATATGATTCTAACTTTCTAAGTGATGAGTGATCTTAATATTCTTTTAAAAAAAATTGTAGATACAAAATGATCTTCAGTACATTAAAGAAGACATAAATGCTGTGGAGAGACAAAGAGTAGAGCTGTATAGAGCAAGAGAAAGATACTCGGTAAAACTAAGGATGCTTTCTGATGATCCTAATGTAAGATCATCATGGCCTTCATTGATCGACAAACGTAACAGCAGCAATATGTCTATTGGAAACAGTGTTAGAGGAGGCCAATTTTGGGTGGGTGGAGGTGCTTCACAAAGTAGGGCAGCTGCTGCTGCTAATGTAGAAGCTCCTCCTATAACCTCTCAACCACTTCAAAGAAAGGATGCTTGCAGTGGGGCAGATTCACAGAATACTACTCAACCAGGAGTAGCTGTAGCACGAAAGAGGCGTGTTCATGCACAGGTTAGTGCTCTTTTTACTTATTGAATTTGGACTTACCTTTTTTTAAAAAAAAAAAAAATTATATAAAAGGGTTGATGTCATAAATTGGTAACGAACTGTTCATTAGTAGTCAAACCAACCACGACCCCCTCCTGACACAGGACAGACAAGACAAACTGCTATGTCATCAACAATTGGATATCCAAATCTTCAATTGGTGTACAGTATATCTAGGTTATCGAAAAAGGTTTGGACCTCACAAGTCATTTGATAAAGACTTACAAGAAGTCCTCAATTTATAATCTTTACTTCAAAAGCTTTAATGGGCTCGCATTAAAAACATTGTTCTAATATAATCTCAAATCACCATTAAAGTAATTACTTGCATCAGTTCAATGACTTGCAAGAGTGTTACTTGCACAAACGGAGATATTGGGCAAAACACGGTCAGAAGCAGGAAGAAAAGGATTCTAATCATGTACAAAGAGAAGGTTATCATCATCATCATCATCATCCAGGACTTAAGGATTTTCAATCTGTGCTTTCTTCTTTTACACGATACAGGTCAGATCTATTATTAACTATTATTATTTCATTCCCTATACCATTCATAAAATCTATAAACTGAATTTTGTTTTGTTTGTGTTTTTTTCCATAGTCGGTTACGGGTTGTTGCTGAACTTAGGCATGGGGATCTTTTCCATTCAGCCAATATCGTATCAAGGTTTCTCTTCAGCATAGATGTTATGTTAATTTTACTGATTCCCATATTATTATTATTATTTTTTTACTGTCTTCTTCACTTGACACTTGCAGTATAGAGTTCGATCGAGATGATGAATTTTTTGCTACTGCTGGAGTCTCACGACGTATTAAGGTGTTCGATTTTGCTTCTGTAAGTCGTCAAGATGTTGACTTTTTCCTTGTTGGTATTTTGAACCAACAAGTTTTGTTAAATGAGAAAAGTTTAAGTAATTTTACTTATAGAAGTGTTTTTACAGGTGGTGAATGAACAAGAAGATATACAGTGTCCTATAGTGGAAATGCCAACGCGTTCCAAACTTAGTTGTTTGAGCTGGAATAAGTACACTAAAAGCCATATAGCAAGTAGTGATTATGAGGGCATTGTGACTGTATGGGATGTAAATACTCGCCAGGTAATTTATTTGTTGTTTTCTAACTAACAAATAACAATATAAACTAAACTCGGCTGTTGACTTTAACTTTGACTCAAGAGTATTATGGAGTATGAGGAGCATGAGAAACGAGCATGGAGCGTTGATTTCTCACGCACTGATCCTACAATGCTAGTTTCCGGAAGTGATGACTGCAAGGTACTGCAATTTTAAACACCAAGTTTTGAGTTTTGCTTCTGTGTAGTGTTATAGTGTGGTCAGTCTGTTTGATTCTTATGTTGGCCTCTCTTCAACAGGTAAAGATTTGGTGTACAAAACAAGAAGCATCCGCTCTTAACATTGACATGAAAGCAAATATCTGTTCAGTCAAGTACAATCCCGGATCTAGTTTTCATATCGCAGTATGTATTCCTTCCTCTCATTTGTTCACCATCATCATCATCAACCTTTCATTACATTATGTTATCTTCACAAGCACATCTCCATACATGATACACCTTGTGTTGGGTTGTAGGTAGGCTCCGCAGATCACCACATCCACTACTACGACCTGAGAAACATAAGTCAACCACTTCACGTATTTAGTGGTCACCGAAAAGCCGTTTCGTACGTAAAATTCGTCTCCAACACCGAGCTCGCTTCTGCCTCTACAGACAACACATTACGCTTGTGGGACGTCAAACAAAACATCCCGGTATGTACTTACTTGTATATAAACACCACCACCACCACCTTCTTTTTCTTTTTACTACAATCTCACTTTTATACTTTTATTATTATTATTTTGTTTTTTAACTTCTTTCTGCCTGCAGTTGAGAACGTTTAGAGGACACACAAACGAGAAGAATTTTGTGGGGCTAACAGTGAGTAACGATTACATAGCGTGTGGCAGTGAGACTAATGAAGTTTTTGTCTACCACAAGGTAAGCTTGCTTTACTTTATGTATCCAGCCTAAAATCAAGCTTCATATGTACTTTTCCATCTTGAAATTTAATTTATTATATAAATTGTAGGATATTTCAAGGCCTGCTGCATGGCATAGGTTTAGTTCTGAGACAAATGAAGGAGGGGGAGATGATCCAGGATCATATTTCATTAGTGCTGTGTGTTGGAAAACTGATAGTCCAACTATGTTAACAGCAAATAGTCAAGGGACAATCAAGGTTCTTGTCCTTGCTGCATAGTGCGTAAATATATATAAAAAACAAACCGATTAAACATTAAACCCGATTTTTACAGTGTTTGGGATCAGAGTCCTGATGCTTTAAACACAAAAACAGCTCCAACAATGTAATCTGTATTGACCCAAAAAAATAGAGATGTTAGGATTGATTTCATTAATCAGTTGTGATGTACTAGGGTAGAATCAAAAGAGAAGATACAGATGCGTTAAACCTAAAATGGAGGAAATAGAAAACTATTTATGCCTAGGCTAAGAAAGGGAAAATGACATTACAAGCCATCATACTATACAAAGAAACATATACTTCTAACACCCTTTTCTAAAACTCCATAATTAATAGCTTGTGGGGTCTTGGTCCCATCACCCATGACTTACATTGTAAAACATCAACTTCACCCATCAAAAACCAGGAATAGCATTTTATCCACTGTCCAAAGACAAAAGTCCTTTTGATCAAGAAGACATCAGTAAATTCAAAAATAGTTTTCAATGTGCAACTATTAAGAATAATTGGTGGTATTACAATCGTCTCGTTGGTTCAACTGAATATGGGATCAAAATGAGATATCTTTCTTCATGGATTGAAATCAGTTGAGTTGATCCATCAAACTTGTTGTCATTTTCTATTTGAAACGTATAAATAATTAAATATTATATCATTGAAAAAGCAATATAGTAATTTCATGACAAAACTGTAAACATGGCCCCTATGTTATGTATTTTTTTTGAGGTTTAGTCAAAATCTCAACTTTTTTTGGCTTCATGGTCCCTTTGACCTAGTTTCATTGCGTTTTTGGTCCCTCGGAAAACTAAAAAGACTATTATACCCTTAGCATATTTATTTTTCATTTTTCTTTTTTTTTTCTTAAATATTTTATAATTAGAAAATATACAAAGGTCTCTCTCTCTCTCTCTCTGAATACACACATCAATATGAATCTGAAGAACACTCGTTTTTGTTTTTTCTGTGGTGATGAATACACAAGAATACAAATCTCAAGAACACTTTTTCCTGATTTCAAGATTAAGAACATCACATTCACAAACCCAGAAATCATTCACAAACCTATAAATCGTTTTTTAATGATTTTCAAAAAATCATTTTTTTTCGGATCTGATGAACTGCCCGTCACCACCACCTGAATCGATTTCTGCTATGAAACCTACACCTAAACTTGATCTGAATCAATTTCTTATCTGAAGCCTCCCCCTATCCGTCTATGGATCTGAAAACCCTTCTCGGATCTGTTCAAGCCCTAGGTGGTCACATGAATGTTCACACACACTTGCAGATCCAACATTGTAACAGATAAGAAACACATAAATGCTAGCTGACAAAAGCATAGAAGTAATGCATTGATTTTGAACTGAAATTAGAACTATAATCTGGAGTCGTTTTCTCAAAGAAGAGGGAAAAACAGAAGAACGATGCTAATCCATCGATTTTAATTATTTGAACTGATTTCCAAGTCAACTTGATGAAGAAAACGAAAAGCTTCTCACAGTAAGATTTAAAGACCCAGATTCGTACCTTCAATTGGCGAAGAACACGGAGAGCTTCTCACCATTTTGTTCAAGACTTCTTGGTGGGTTGTGGGTGTTTATGGTGACTGGAACAAGGCGGTTGTGTATGGTGCTGGTGATTGGGAACTATCGTTGTTACTTGATGCGGTTTATTGGCCTAAACTTAAGAAGATTTACACAGGGTGCCAATGAAAATATAAAAGAGGTGAAAAAAAAAATCCACCTCATGTGTTCGATTTTGGTTGAATCTGTTGAAGGGTTTTGTGAAGAATCAAAAGTAATGCAAAACCCTGGAAGGGTTTTTATATTTGCATTATAAATCTGTACAGGAATGGCCGAATATCAAAAGCTTATTATACGGAATCCCATTTTTTTTAGAACGAGTTGGAGGAGTAGGCATTATTGGTGGAGATGAAGCAATAAATTGGGGTTTGTCGGGACCCATGCTACGAGCTTCCGGAATACAATGGGATCTTCGTAAAGTTGATCATTACGAGTGTTACGACGAATTTGATTGGGAAGTCCAATTTTGGAATATTGAGGACGAGATTTGATAATGGGTAAAAGGAAATTATGTAATTGTGGAGAGAGAAACCCTAAACTATTGAGAGACCCCATAATTTTTATTAATAAAACTTAAATTAAAGTGGGAAAAGACCGGTGCGTTGCACGGGTCAATCTTTTTTTTTTGTTTATCCTCAACTTTTGCCGGTTATACGGGTCAATCTTTTTTTTTTGTTTATCCTCAACTTTTGCCGGTTATACGGGTCAATCTTTTTTTTTGTTTATCATCTATTTTTGCCGGATGTACACCATTGGTGTCTTACTACTGACTTCAGAAACAACAGCAGATTCGATATCAGTTGATTTTTTTTTTTTTTTGTATTATAACAGTTTTTATATAGATGACAGTCAGATAAGAAGTTTGTTTAAAAAAGTATTTATTAGTAAAAAGCGGTGGAATCCAATGATGCGATGAAAGTTGTGTGACAAAATTGAAAAACAATAAAGAAAGGGGACTAAAACTACCAAAACTTGAAAATTATTATGTAAGCGGTGGAATCCAATGAGGCGGTGAAAGTTGTGTGCCAAATTGAGAAACAATAAAGAAAGGGGACTAAAACTACAAAACCTTGAAAATTGTTATGTGGCCAAACTCTAAAGCCAAAAACTTTCCTGTTGAAAGAGTCCATGCGCTTTAATATATATATATATATATATATATATATATATATATATATATATATATATATATATATATAATAGGAAAAAACATAAAAAAATGTATCAGAAGGACATTTAGTCTTTTCAGTTTTCTGAGGGACAAAAAACACAACGAAATTAGCTCAAAATGACCATGAATCCAAAAAAATCGAAGTTTAGACTAAACCTTGAAAAAATGCATACCACAGAGACCATTTTTACAGTTTTGTCTAATTTAATTGATAGATTAAGAGGATGGTAAATATTTGAATACAATTGGGTTGATTTTCAACCTATTTAACTCCATTTTTCTTTAGTTAAGGTTATAAAAATTTCTATTTTGACTTATTTAGAAATCAATATGTTTTGAAATAAATAAATTATAATATAATTGCAAAGATGACAAAATGCGAAAAACGCAACCATGTATCTGCTAGCATTTAGAAAAACTTTTATATTTTGTTTATATGTAGAGAAACTCTTATATTTTTAGTTACTTTTCAGATATTTACCTGAATATCTGTTTTTTAAAGAAGTTATCGGTTGTTTTGTGATATGATGTTTATCTTGTTCGTTTTTAGGTTGACATGTAAAAAAAATAAGTGATATGATTCATTTTTGTTTAAGAAAATGGTCGTTGAGTAAATAATTGATGTCTCACATTTTACCTTAGACAAGAGGCAACATCATTTATTTTTATTTCCATGTTAACTTAAAAATGAAAAAGATAAATATCATATCACAAAGCAATCGATAATTACTTAAAAAATCAGGATATTTGGATTAATGTGAAAGGTAACTGAAAATATAAGAGTTTTTCAGCATATAAACAAAATATAAGAGCTTTTAAAATGTTATAAAAAATATTAAATTTTCATACAAAATCTGTGAAACATTTTAAAAATGTTGTAAAAGCAAGTTTAGAAATAACTGTATGAACGTTATAAAAAAATTGTATGAAAATGTAAAAAAAAGTTAAAAACTTGTAAGAAAAATTTAAAACATTTATAAAATATTTGGTTTAAAAGCACTTCTATTAAAATTATATAAATGTATAAAAAAGTTAAAAAAAAATTATAAGAAAAGTTTAAAACATTGTATTAGAAAAACCTATAGAAAAAAATTACATAAAAATGTTGTTAGATATAATAAAAAGTCTTAAGAAATTTATAAAAAAAATTATTCATATTTAGACAACTTTCTTTTTTTATACACATTTGACTATTTAATTTGTTAAATGTGTTAACATATTATCATTGTCACCTGATATAGCAGGTGACAATGGTAACATGTGAATATATTTAACAAGTTAAATGGTCAGATGTGTACAAAAAAATAAAGTTGCTTAAACATGAACAATACGAAAAGGTAATTACCATTGCAAGTCATTTTCTCTTTTTTAAACCAACATCATATTTTAAGTTATCAAAAATACTACAATACATTGTTTTAAAACAAAATATATTACAAAATATCGTTTGAAAAAGTTAATACGAAAAAACTATTACAGAATAGTCATAAAAAGATTAAAAAAACAGCTATATAATCATAAGTTATATTTCATAAATGAAATATCATTATATATTTTTAATAAAAATAATTAGTTAGTAAGTAAATAAAAAATAATTAAAACTAAAATATATTTAAAAGGATAAAATAAAATATAACTATAATGGAGGTTAAATGATAAAACAAAGAAGCATATTGAATGGTCAATAAAAAACAAATAAATTATATGATCCATGTTCTAAATAAGTGGATGACAACATTTTCTACCCTAATGTCAAATGTGTAAGAGTTATTTTCAACTCCTATAACAAATATGTTAAATATGTGTAAGAACTTATTAATTATGTCTAGTGATTTAACTAGTATAAATAGCACAATTACATATGTAAAAGATACACCAATTTGAATATTTTATATAAGTTATCAAATTCTCTCCAAATCTCCATTCTTCTTTCTTAAGGTTATTAGTTTAGTTTTATTAATCTTGTTTTAATTACGTCAAATTTACAACACATTATCAGCACGAAAGCTCTAATCAATGTTATTAAACAAGTGGAAAATCACATATATCTTAATCAAGATATGTATTACTTATTAAAAACACTATTAATTAGAAAACCTCAATCATATTAAAATAATAATAATACTAATGAATTAATGAAACTTATACATTATGGACTACTAACAATTTTTATTTCATATGCTAACATTTCTTTATGTATTCTAATTTTTATACTAACATTTACATTATGCAACTAATTTTTATTTATGCAAACTAACATTTACATTATGCAACTAACTTTTATTTATGCATACTAACATTTATATTATGCTACTAACTTTTATTTGTGCATACTAACATTTAAATTATATTTATTTATAATGTCCATGTTTATTTATATTTTAGATACTCTTCATAATTTTATTTAAACATTTACTAATATTTATTTATGTTTCTACTTAGTAAAGTTATGTATTAATTATAAGTCTTATTACATGATTTATAAAATACATATACATATATACACAACGGGAATATATATGCAACGGTTATAAACAGCAAAAACAACGGCTATGTTTTTTACCATAAATAAACATCTTTACCCTGCTTATTTTACCCATAACAAATATTTATCTCTTCTATCAAATAAATAAATTTCAAGAAATCAAGCTTCAAGATGATTCATCCTTTTGTGATAATCATGACTATAATAGTCATGTTACTTTTCATCACAATCCTTAACATCGAAGATAATATGAAATTTCATCTACTTTTACGCTTGTATGCAATGTTAGCTTTACCGCTTTTTTTTGTGTAATATTTATTGAAATAAATGGATTTTAATTTTAATTTTAATTTTGTTTAAAATTTATAGTTACATTATGTCCAACATTGCAAAGCTCGAGTTTGCAGCACTTGAAGTTAGTGGGAAAAACTATGTGCCATGGATGATAGATGTAAAAATGCATCTTGAATCCATGGGTATCTCAAATACTATATATGAATTTAATAATTGCTTGGCACAAGACAAAGCAAAAACACAAGTTTTCCTTCGTAAGCATATTGATGAAATGTTGAGATTTGAATATCTTGATGTTACTGATCCAAGTATTCTCTGGAATCTTTTGAAATAAAGATTTGATCATCAAAAGGAAGTTATACTTCCAAATGCTAGAGATGAATGGAGAACACTAAGGTTTCAAGACTTCAAGAAAGTAAATGAATACAACTCAGCTTTGTTCAGAATATGTTCACAACTCAAGTATTGTGGACAAGAGGTTACTGATGAAGATATGTTGGAGAAAACTTACTCAACATTTCATGCAACAAACATTATCTTGATGCAACAATATCGGATGCAAAAGTTCACAAGATATTCTGAACTGAATGCATGTCTGCTCATTGCAAAGCAAAAAAATGAACTCTTGATGAAAAACCATGAATCTCGTCCAACGGGATCAGTAGCACTTCCTGAAGCAAATGCTACAAATATTGATGGTCATCGAAACAATACACGTGGACGAGGGCGAGGTCGTGGCCGAGGACGAGGCTGTGGCTATTTAATCGAAACCAAAGCCATAATCAGAACCATAATTCTGGTCGTGGACAAGGTAATAATCATGGTCGTGGCCAGAAAAGGAATAATTACCAATATTCACAAAGAAACAATGTCCACACACAAGATAAGGCCAAAGTGGCAAGGCATGACACTGGGACATCACAAAAATATGATGGTAGCACATGCCATTGGTCAAGGACCTGTCGCACACCTGCACATCTTTGTTAACTTTATCAAGAGTCCATTAAAGGAAAAGGAAAAGAAGCAAACCTCACTGATATAGCAAAGTATAATTACAGTTTATTCTGGATTTTTGGCATTTTCTGCAGCTATTAATTAAAGCTTCAGCACATCATATTGATATAGCAAAGTATGCTTCTCCTACTGAACAGCTTTGTCAAGCACTTTGATTATCTTAATTGAAATTATTGTCCAATTGAGATTTTTTTTATGTTGAATGTTGATGCACCTACAAATCATTTCATTTTTAGTTTGATTGTGCAAGTTCCAATATTAGAAATAGTCAACTCAAAGTAGTCTTAAGCTGCTTTGAAAGTAAAGTACTAATTTCATCAGCATTTATGGTATTTAGTTAAATATTTGCATTCAAACAATATGTTAATTAAAGTAGTCTTGTATAGTTTGTTTTTGGGCCAAACAGGAAAAATACACATACTCCCTAACCTTAAACCTAGTTAAAAATTCACGATGTACAACTCAATATTAAGTAATCCTTAGTAAAATCTGTCCCATTTTGCATTAGATCTGGATAGATTATAGGCAAACTTGTGACATTATATTCCCCCTTCTTTTAAGGTAGCAATAATATATCAATGAAGTGATT